TGTGGGGAGGGGGGGCGCCGGCCCCGGGTGCACGGCACTTAGCAGGAGCGCCGGCCCGGGCGCACGGCGCTGCTCTGGGGGGGCCACCCGCCCCCCCGGGCGTGCATGTGTCCCCGCCCTCTGGCGCCCGGCAGGCGAACGGCCACGCCCCCTGGCGCCCGGCAGCCTCTAAAGGTTGGGGACCACTGACCTAGCTTCTCTTTATACTCTGTTATAGTTCTAGCCTCCACAGCCTCCTCGCAGTGAAAGAGAGAGATGCACAGTGGTTGCTTTCTCCTCCCCGTAACAGTTATTTACACCGGGCCTGATGATCTACAAACACTTTTGTTTTAAGGGCAAAAAGTTGGATTTCAGTGGTTGCAAGTGAAAACTGTCAGATCAAAGTAAATGACTCAATTAAAATGACCTAAAAATGCTTCGTTAGTTCTAACCCACTGAGAAGCTTGTTGCATACGAGTTCTTTACCCTAAAGAGCTGTTCTTCTGTCAAGTAAAGAGCTTCAAGTCAGAACTGGTTGGCCTGGGGGCAGGGGAGCAGCAGGGCCTCTGTGAGCTGGCTCCACCCTCTTGGCGGGCTGCATCCGGCCTGCCGAGGCCCTTTTGCCCACCCCTGCTCTAGCCTGTGCTGTCCTGCAGCTCAGACTAGATGAGCTAATGGGCCCTCCTGGCGTTAAACACTAGGACTGTTTCTGAGGTGCTGGGCACCATGAGTGGGAGTGGTCGGTGCTGCCCCGACTGGCAATCAGGCCCGTGCGCTCGGCCCTGGGTCCTGTTCTGCCCTGTAGCTTCCACGGCGGCAGCACGTGGGGTGTTAAAAGGAGCGTCTCCTCCTCTCAGGACTTCCCAGCCAGAAGCGTGTGTGTGTTTGGAGAGGGGGGGTCTCAGGAAGAACGTGTCGAGCGAGACGTGACCGCAACCGTCTTGCTGGGTTGGGAAAAAACGGAGGCCGTTTGGGTCTGGTGCGGTCTGAAGATGAGAAATGCTCCAGCGTGTCCTGCTTCGATTGGATTACGGGTGTGCTGGATTGCTCGGAGGGAAAGCTCTGATTTAATTAGGCGCTTAATCGCCTTTGGATTTGACAGGCAAAGGCGCTCATTGATCGGCAGGCAGATAAAGGGCTGCGTCTCCACGAAAGGGGAAGGGGCCGGGACTGAAAGCTCCTTCCGGGCTGGGCTGCGTGGCCCAGACACAGCCCCAGTTCCAGGCCCAGAGCGGTGCTCCAAGGGGTAACTTAACCTGGAGGGGAGAAGGAAGCCTGGTGAATGTTAGGAGTGATCTCCAGCTCCTGTGTGTACTAACAGTGGGTGTCTTGGTTCCCTAGGGTACCTGGCAGCGCAGGCGGCAGCTTTCCGGGGCCCGCTGCTCTATGCCGGCGCCCTCTCCGACGGGCAGTTCTATTCCCCTCCCGAGTCCTTCGCAGGTGACGGATGCTTTTGCCTCCTTGTGGCGCTCTGTGACCTTTGTGCTGGCCGGGGCCGTGTCCTCAGCCTGGTCCGCTCGCAGGATCCCGGGGGCTTCCGCTTCCCTGTGATCCGCCTCGGAGTTCCTCGCTGCGCTGTGTCTAATGAGCCCGACCTTTGAGCAGCGTTCCAGTGCAGCGAACGGGCTGGGGGGGGGGGAGCAGAGCTGCTTTTGTGCCCCCCGTGGCGTCGGAGAGATTGCCGGGAGGTGGAAAAGTAGCCCCCTACTTGGCATCTGAGGCCTGACTTTCCTGCACTGCCCCACTCCTGGGTTGCACCCCATGCTCGGGGCAGAGGGTTTGTAATGCACAATCTGAGGTCGCTCTGGAAGCGCCCTGGGCCCCCAAGGGCTGTGCGGTTCCCACTAGCTTGCTGCAGAGAGGGGCGTTTGCTGCGTTTTCTGATGGGGCAGCACCGGGGATGGGGGATGGGAGCATTTCTGTCGTAACCTCTATCATGGATGCTGTAAGAGAACATGCAGCCTCTCCCTGCACAGGGTGGCGGGGGGGGGGAGATGCGGGGGGCAGAATGGCCCACACAGGATCAAAAATCTTAACCAGCTGGATCTCTGGCTTCCACCTGACTCTGTCCCTTTCTCCAGGATCGGACAATGAATCGGATGAGGAAGGCGTGGGCAGGAGGCTGCTAACAGCGCAGGTAAGTGGAGAAGAGGGGATCGTGTTGGGGGGACCCTCTGGGCCCCCCTTGGCTCCGAGCGTCTGTCGTCTGCTGGCTGCCCAGTGCCCGTTGACGTGTGGGTCTGTAATCGGCTGATTCTGCCAGCACGTGCCCGTCGGGGGGCTGAGGAAAACCAGGGGAGAACGGAAGGCGTGGGCAGGAGGCTGCTAACAGCGCAGGTAAGTGGAGAAGAGGGGATCGTGTTGGGGGGACCCTCTGGGCCCCCCTTGGCTCCGAGCGTCTGTCGTCTGCTGGCTGCCCAGTGCCCGTTGACGTGTGGGTCTGTAATCGGCTGATTCTGCCAGCACGTGCCCGTCGGGGGGCTGAGGAAAACCAGGGGAGAACGGTTCAGTTTTGCTCAGGTGCTCTGGGAAAAACTGCTCCGACTCGCCCTCCCTCGCTGGGAATCGTTCCCTTTCACCTCTCCCCCCCTTAGTTGGCTTTTAAAGGGGTCTGTGGCCTTTCCTGGTCCCTCCCGTTTCCTTTGCTCTTCCATTTACTGAAGGGGGTGTTGACTAGGGATGTAAACTCCCGTTTCATTGGCTAACCGGTTAAACATACGGGTTAACCAGCTCGAGCCCGGCTGGAGAGCTCCCCGTCCCCGCACCAGCCACCGGGGTGGGCCGACACCCGCCCAGCGTGACGCCCGCTATAGGCAGGGGCTGCACTTTAACAAGAAACCCCTCTCCCTCCGCAGGGCTGGACTCACCCCCTGCCAACGGCAGGCAGGGAGTTGCTGCAGCCCCACCCGTTCACCTTAACCAGTAAGTCTCGCCTTTAAGGGTGAGGCTAACCGGTTAACAGCTTAAATTGTCACATCCCGAGTGCTGACTCCACTATTGCATCAGATTCCGGCTTGAGGAGCGGCCTTCTGCCTCCGTAAAGTCCCACTGTCGTTCAGTTGGACACAGGAGTCGTCTTCGCATCTTTTCCCATATCGTTGTGTAGCGAAGTAGCTGCCGTTTCGCCCCAGAAGTGGCTGCATCTCAGTGGGAGAAGTCATCTTCTCGTGGCTTGTACCATTTCGTCGGGTGAAAATGGTTTGGGAATCTCCCCGGGTGAAAGGTTGAACTGTTGTGAGACGCAGCTCGGGCTAGAAACCTGGCCTGCCGGGTGCAACGCGCTTCCTTCCGCTACCTGAGTGAAAGGGGAATTTTGTAGCAGGGACCATAATGGAAGGTTCCTTCCTCTCTTGCCCGGACACTGGGAGGCAAAATCGCTCCTTGTTGTTAACGAAGGGAGCTGTAAATAGATTGCATTTCCTCCTAGGAGAAGGAATACATCCAACAAGGCAAAGAAGCAATGGCAGTCGTGGACCAAATCCTAGCCCAGGAAGAAAACTGGAAATTTGAAAAGAACAATGCAAGTATTTCCCCTTTTTGCCAGCAGACCGCACGGAGGGCTCAGCCCAGACCCCGGAACGCTGGGGCTCCCGCAGCCTGGTTACACCGTGACAAATTAACAAGTGTTCCCATGACGTGATTGAATTAGGAATCTTATTCCCGTTCAGTTAAATGTAAATCTCCTCTTATTTAATTAGACGTTAAATTACCTTGTCTGACAGAAGAGGGAACCCATCCGTCTCTTCCCTCCTCCTTCCCCCACCCAGCCGCATGCAGGTGGAGGAGTGCGGTTCGCCTTTACTAACAGTTTTGATGGGGAGCTGCAGTTGACTGAGTGGGAAAGGATCAAAAGCAGGTGTTGGTAAAGTAAGGGAGTTAGTGTCGCCATCTTGCAAAACACCAGCCTGGCATTAAGGGAGCTGGCAAAGCAAAAGACTCCTTCGCTAAGCATCCAGCTACGGATTCATCCTGTGTCCGTGTCTCCTCGCGCTCCCCCGCAGCGGGCTGCGTTTTGTCTGCAGCCATGTAGACCTGTGGATTTTGGGAAGCGCGTTTAAAATTCAGCTGGGGACTGTCTTCACTTCCTGTGCCAAACTCACTGGACAGTGTGTCAGCGCTGACTCGCGTGATTGGAGCGGGACTGTCCTGTGAGCAGCCCGGCCAGTGGCACAAGCCTAAAATTTGCTGGGAGATCTCGGGGGAAAAGGTGCCGTAGGCGGGTGAACTATTTTGCATGTAAACTGCAACTTGACTGTCTCTTGCGCAGGAGTTTGGCGATGTGGTTTACACCTTTGAAATTCCTTTCCATGGCAAGACCTTTATTTTAAAGGTAAGGATCTGCAGGACTCGGTAATGCGGCCTGCTGCGTTCTTCCCCGGAGCGCTTTTCCGGGATAACACCGGGGCTTGCTGCCTAAAACTAGCCTGCTCCAACCCCCAATATATGCTGGGGAGCAACGGCAGAATGATGGACCCGATGGCCAAAGCACCCTGTTCCACCCCCTCTTTCTAGGACCACAGTAGGATAGCGACCGCCTGCCCAGCAAAACCAGGTGGCTCCCACTTCAGATGCTGTTGGGCATTAGATGTTGTTAGGAAATGATTCATTCCAGTGGCTCAGCGTGAAATCCTAGCTCACCGAAGGCGCATTGTGGTGACTTTTTGTTTCCGTGCGTTCGTTGCCGCATGTGCAAAAATCGCACGTGAAAAGACTCTTAATGAAGGCACCTATGTAAACAGACCCCGTGTTACTGCTTTCTCCCAGTGCCCCTAAACACCTACCCGAGGCTGCAGGTGAACGGAGTGTTTCGTTTTGGCCAATGCTCTTTGTAGCTTTTCGGGAACCTCCTGTACCAGCTGCCCGCTTGGGTACAAGCGGCAGACGCAGGAGTAGCCCGGGGTGGAATAACAGCGGGGGTTCTGTTCAGGGTGGCGGTACGCTGTTCCTGCCTGGGTGCAGCCAGTTCTTCAGCTATCGCTTCCCATGAGCACTCGATCTTTATCTTGGGCTGTTGAATACACGCCCGAGGGGAAGGCAGCTGGGTCACACGGTTAACGGCCGAGTCCTTTCCCTCAGGCCTTCATGCAGTGTTCTGCTGAAACCATCTACCAGGAGGTGATTCTGCAACCGGAGAGGATGATCCTGTGGAATAAAACAGTGGCAGCTTGCCAGGTACGTGCATTGTGCAGTAGGGATGTCAGCGTGTTGATGGCTACTCGATGAACCCATAAGCCTGGGCTTATTGGTTAAACTTGTCAACTACATGCACTCCCCCTCCCCCTTGCTGCCTCTGGATCAGAGGCAGCAGCACAGTGCAGGGAGGGAGTGGAGCCGATCCACGTGGGGAGCTGGCTTTTAAGCCAGCTGTCCCTGCATGCCTGGCTCCGTGCAGCTGCCTGCTCCCCCCACCCACTTGCTGCCTCCCGGCGCCGGCTGGGGGGGCCTGCCCTCCCTCAGCAGTGTCTGTGTCCAGGGTGCGAAGGAAATGCCTGCTCGCTGTACAGGCGGGCAGCGCCGATCATTTTCAGCCCCCGAAGCCGCACGTGGCCACGCGAATCCTGAACTCTCCGAGGCTGCCCCTAAAGGCTCTTCTTGTTTTGGATCCGTGGGCGATTTTAAGGGCAGCTGTTGGCATGTGTGCGGCTTCCCAGGCAGGGGGAGAGGAAACGTCTCTTGTTCTGTCCCTCGCTCAGATCTTACAGCGGGTGGAAGATAACACCGTGATCTCGTATGACGTTGCGGCTGGGGCTGCCGGTGGGGGGGTGTCACCCAGGTGAGTTTACTCCGCCCCAGGCGTACAAGCCCCTACAACACATCAAGGAGCTTTTTCATGAGGGAGCTCTGGGCCAGCCCTCGTCTTACGTGTGAAATACACAGCAGAACCCAGAGGGCATGTCTAACCTGCCCTGTGGGTGGGTTACCTAGCGGAATGACTTGCCCAGAGTCCTGTGCCAGATTGATAGCCAAGCCATACCCAGAACCCAGCGTCTGGCCCAGGCACTAAATATCTGCTCTGTCCCTCGAGTAACCATCATGGCGTCTCCATGGTAAAATACGTTTGCCACGACCTTTTCCTGGAGGGCTTAGATTGAACGTGGCAGCTTCCATGTCTGTGTTGTCCGAAAGCTCCCAGGCCCGGCCATGTGCACTTGGGCAACAAAAATGATTCAGGGTTTGGAACGGGTCCCATATGAAGAGAGATTTAAAAAGACTTGGATTTTTCAACTTAGAAAAGAGGAGACTAAGGGGGGAGATGATAGAGGTCTAGAAAATCATGACTGGTGTGGAGAAAGTGAATAAGGAAAAGTTATTTGTTTACCACATCATAAAAACTAGGTGTCACCAAATGAAATGAATAGGCAGCAGGTTTAAAACAAACCCAAGGAAGTTTTTCTTCACTCGGCGCACAGTTAACCTGTGGAACTCCTTGCCAGAGGATGGGGTGAATACTAGGACTTTAACAGGGTTCAGAAAAGAGCTAGAGAGATTCGTGGAGGTCTGTTAGCCAGGATGGGTAGGAATGGTGTCCCTCGCCTCTGTTTGTCTGGCGGTGGGTGACAGGGGAGGGATCATGTGAGGATTACCTGTTGTGTTCCCTCCCTCTGGGGCATTTGGCATTCGCCACTGTCGGCCGACAGGACACTGGGCTAGATGGACCTTTGGTCTAACCCACTGTGGCCGTTCCTATATTCCTCCCCCCCTTTATTTCCTTAGGGACTTTGTAAACGTGCGTCGCATTGAAAGAAGGCGAGACCGCTATATTTCCTCAGGGATGTCAACCACTCACAGCTTGAAGCCTCCGCTGTCCAAATACGTCAGGTGAGAGTTTGGATTAGTGGCACGGGGAAATGTCTGGTTGGGTGGTTTTTTCCAGATCACTCATGCTCCTGTGGAATATTATCTGTTCAGTGCAAACAGACACTTGAGTTTAAAGAAGGAAGCTGGGGGGGGCTTTTCTTGACACTGTGAAATGGAAACAGCCAACTTTACAAAAACTCTGGCAGCCAATGTGTCTGTGGCACTGTATCCTGCTTCCTGTGTCCCTCTTCCTTTGTGTAGAGAACAATCGGCGCGCGCTCAGCATGTGGGTGGGGACAGCCGGCTGACTCCACATGGAATGAGCTGTCACAGGCGGACAATCGCAACTTCAAAGGGGGAATAAGCCGCTGGACTCATCATGTGTTTTGTCTGTCAGGCGCGTGCCCTGGGGTTCTGCATGGTTCTAATACAGGCCCCGGGACCCAGAGGGAGGGAGCGTGGGGTGTAAACAGAGGGTGCTTCCATAGGCGGGGAACCTCACTTGCAGCACTTGCCAAGTTCTCCAGCCGTTCTCCCCTCCCAAACTCCAGTGGCCGGCAGCCTTGTGATACATTAATCTGGCTCTGCATCTCTTCCGACAAGGCCTCTTTGTTACAGTCAGGCAGCGCCTCAGGTGGAGGGTCAGCAGCTCAGCGCCTCGCTCCCTGACTTTGTTTTTCTGAGTAATCGGATCAGAGTCATTGACATTTAACGCCCAGGCTCAGGCCCGGCCTCCCGTCTATGGAGGCGCTGAGGCTTTTCAGGCCTCGAGACTTTTTGTTTTTAAGGCTGTAGCCAGCAGAAATCCCTCCTGGCGTGAAGCAGAGACGCGGCGCCGTGTCCCTGCTCTTGATCCCACCTGGAAGGGCGGGGGCCTCTCGCCTTTCGTCACAAGTCCAGGCTGGGTCCGTAGGCGGGCTCTGCCCCACCAGGCAGCCCAAGAGTGGTGACCAAGCTGCCCAGCCGTCGCTGCCCCGACCCCATGGGGTGTGGTTCTCTCAGCGATCAGCATGGGGACAGCGTTGCCAGGTGTCCGGTATTGACCCGGACAATCCGGTATTTTCGCCTCCTGTCCGGTTAAAAAAAAAATCAGAAAATACCGGACACCTAAAATGTCCAGTATTTTCTGATTATTCTCCCCCCTCCCCAGCCAGGAGGTGAAAATACCAGACACCTGGCAACCCTACACACTCAGCAACCGGGGCCCCCTTCCCCTCCGCTTACCTGGTTCTGCAGGGAAGCTGTCTTCTGGCATGGAGGAAAACAAGATGTCCGCCAGCAAAAAAAGTCCCCAAAGGCCTTAAAGGGGCCATGCTGGTTTTTTTGTTTGTTTGTTTTTAAATTGTCGGGGTCCTTTTTTTGCTCAACTTTGGTCTCTCCCCCCCCCCTTTTTTTTTCTCAACAGTGTTTGAGGTTTTTGGGGGGGGGGGGGAGTGTTCGGTATTTTTGGTTAAACCATCTGGCAACCCTTTAAAAAGGGTGTGTCCAGCGACTGTCGTGCTGGTGAGACAGACACACGCACCCTCCCCTCCAGCAGCCGGCGGAGACTCAAGGCCCCCTGTCCACAGAGCAGCTGTGCAACAAGGCAGCACTTGCCGTGTGGGCAAATACGGCCGTAGTGCCCCCGCCAGGCGCGGAGGGGAGTCTGCCGCCTGTTGGGCGTGTCGGCGGGCGTTGGTGGAGGTGGCAGGGCGTGTAGTGGCGTGGACAAGCCCACTAGGCCCCACCCAGGCCTCTGGGCCTCGCTGCACCCATCTGCTGGGAAAGAAAAAGCTGAAGGCGTCAGCTGAGCGTGACTCCACGTGGCAGCTGAAGACGTGGCCTTCTCGGGCAGCACAACCTCCCCAGTTTGCTGCCTAGTTAGGTTTGCCCAGGGACTGCTCCAGCACTGACTTCCTGCCTCTTGGGGCACCCGACTATGAATCCTAAAACTGGAAGGGACCTCGAGAGGTCAAGTCCAGCCCCCGGCCCTCACCGCAGGACCACGCACGGTCTAGATCAGGAGTGGGGAACCTAAGGCCCAGGGGCTGGATGTGGCCCCCAGCTTGCCTGGATCCGGGGCTCAGGGCCCCCCGCCCCACTACAGGGCTGGAGCACACACCATCCACTAGGCTGGGCCCCCTAGGCTGGGGTGCGAGGGGAATGCAGGGAGGGTCTTGCTCCTTCTCAGTCAGGGGCCACGTCAGTGAGGATTTGGTTTGGTTTTGTCTACGGCCCCCGACTGATTTTTCTGTGGGTCAGCAGCCCCTGACCCAAAAAAGGTTCCTCGGCCCTGATCTAGAGCATCCCTGCCAGGTGTGTGTCCAACCTGCTCTTCAATATCTCCAGGGATGGAGATTCCACAGCCCCCCAGGCAATTTATCCCAGTGTTTGACCCCCTGATGGGAAGTTTTTCCTAATATCCAACCTCAACCTCCCTGGCTGCAGTTTAAGCCCCTTGCTCCTTGTCCGGTCCTCAGAGGCCCAGGGGAATAATTTTTCTCCCTCCTCCATGTAATGGATCGTTAAACTGTGCCGGTGTCTCTGTGCTGCGCGGGTGCGGCTGCCCGGCAGTGTCTGTGGTTGCTCCCTCGAGTCCACAGAGCCTCACAGCCGTGCCCTCTTTGTGCCGTTCCTTTTCCCAGGGGCGAGAATGGGCCGGGAGGCTTCATCGTCCTGAAATGTGCCAACAATCCCAAAGTGTGCACCTTCGTCTGGATCCTCAACACAGACCTCAAGGTAAAGCGGGTTCCCCCTGCGCCGCGCGCCCAGGGCTCCCTCAAGACTTGCAAGCTGTGAGCGCTAATCCCCGCCCAGCAAGGCTCAATGCTCTGGCAGGAAGCGGCCGCCAAACCCGCCTTTCATGCACTTGGTCCCCGTGGCAGCTGGGCTGCAGCCCGGCGCCGAAGCTGTGGAGGGCTGGCCATGTGGGTGCAGCAGCCACGTTCGAAAACGACTTTGGGCGCCGGGCTTGGGACACCTTAACAGGGCCTGATTCTTCCAGGGGCAGGTGCTGAGCCCTGTGGGAACATCCAGCCCCTTGCAGGTCTGCCAAACCGGGTCCCCCAAACCAAATGGTGGCCTCAGCGCCGTGCAGAGCAGACATGCAGCGAGAGGGACTGTGCGTTCCCGCAGGGAGCAGAAGTCAACAGTTCTTCTTGCTGTCCTGCCGCCTGCCCACCCAACAGGGCCTGATTCTTCCAGGGGCAGGTGCTGAGCCCTGTGGGAACATCCAGCCCCTTGCAGGTCTGCCAAACCGGGTCCCCCAAACCAAATGGTGGCCTCAGCGCCGTGCAGAGCAGACATGCAGCGAGAGGGACTGTGCGTTCCCGCAGGGAGCAGAAGTCAACAGTTCTTCTTGCTGTCCTGCCGCCTGCCCACCCTTGTGTCTAGCCGCCCGCGATAGAAACGGCCTCTCCCGGCCCTCCTGGAGGTAGTGTCTGCACCCCTGGCAACAGGCACCTTCCACGCTCCCATCCGGAGGTGGGCGCTGCAGGGCTGGGACCCTGCTGTCCACTCGGACCCGGGCAGCGTACAGAAGCCTTGGTGGTTGACGTGGTAACCCGCTGCTGCAGCAGGGCAGCACAAAGGCCTCATTCATCTTCATCGGGGGGAGCCGATTGGCTGCGCCGCTGCTCTTAACGGTGACGGAAAAGCACTTGAAAAATCCACTGTCCTGCTGAGGGATGAAATCGGGGGGTAGAGCAAGAGCAGCCACAAACCAGCCGCACCTCCCACTCAGGCTGATGTGCCCAGGGCTCTGTGTCCTGGTTCCCTGGATGGGAACTGGCTCTGAATTTGTTCAGCCTCAGCAGCACCCAGCTGATGGCAAAGGGTCTTAACGGTGACGGAAAAGCACTTGAAAAATCCACTGTCCTGCTGAGGGATGAAATCGGGGGGTAGAGCAAGAGCAGCCACAAACCAGCCGCACCTCCCACTCAGGCTGATGTGCCCAGGGCTCTGTGTCCTGGTTCCCTGGATGGGAACTGGCTCTGAATTTGTTCAGCCTCAGCAGCACCCAGCTGATGGCAAAGGGTCGTGGCAAGCAACGCCTGCGAAACTGACTCCTGGCTGCATCCTTTGTGATGCAGGCGGAGGGCTCCGGTGAATTTGTTCTGCTGCTTTGCTATAAAACCAACGCCTCTGAAATGTCCGTGGATCAATCCCAACGGTGTGCCAGGGACAACCTGTCTTACTGGTTGAACCTCCTTCGTCCGGCACCCTCTGGACCGGACCGGTGCCAAACCGCGGATGCACTTTGCCAGCAACGTAAACCCAGTGTTTGTGTCTTGTTTTCCGTAGGGTCGGCTTCCCCGCTATCTTATCCATCAGAGCCTGGCAGCCACGATGTTCGAGTTCACCTTCCACCTCCGGCAGCGGGTCGGTGAGATCTCGGGCAGGTCCTGAGAGCCCAGCCTGCCGCTCCTCGGGGCCTTTTTACCTGGCCGCCGGCCAAGTGGGGAACCCGTTCCAGGCATCGGACAGGGACTGCAGCCTCTTCCCTCCCCCAGGAACGGCTGGGCCAGACCTTGCGCCGGGGGGTGGCGAGCACAGACTTTACAGGAGTGCAGGAAGAGGCGTCCCTCCCTCATCACCCCTCCAATCAAGGATCAAACTCACTGAGCAGCTGTGGGAATTGACAGAGCCTGTTTGGACCGAACTCTATGCTAAAAGCCCTACTGATCATGGTTTCCCCCTCCACCGCCTGCAGCGGGGGCGGGTCCTGGCTGGATACCCCCCCTCCCCAACCCTCCCATTTGTCTCCCGTCCGTTTTTTAAAATGTTCTGCGGCTCGTCTGTGACTCTCATGCGCCTGGAGCGACCGCCCTCCCTGAGACGCCTTGCGGCGGCGAGGGGAAGGCGGAGCCAGGCATCCCGGTTCATGGCGCCGCTCGGAAGGGTGGAACGGCGACTGTGGGAAACGGACCCCTACTGGGGGCGTGTTCCCTGGTCACGCCCGGTGGGCACTTGGCTGCCCCTTGTCATTCCTCGCCTGCCGGGGCTTGGGACGCGGGCGCACGCTGATCCAGGGCGGTTTAGTGCAGCTTGGGAAGAGGGGGAGGGTCTCTCCATCCCCTGCTCTTGAGCCAAGCACCAAGCAGGCAAACGGTTAAGAATGAAGTGCCCGGCCAGAGGGGGGCCCTCCCCCACTGGCACCCACTTTTTGCCCCGGTATTGCTGCTGATCCTCATGTGGGGTCCACAAAAGGCTGACGTACCCCGCAGCCGCGCTAAAAAGCTGTACAGCCCAGCCGTGGGTCTGCAGTGGGACCAGGCCTGGGGGAAGGGCACCCCAAGCAACACGCCCCCCATAAACACTAGTCAGAGAGCCCCCACCCCGGTTCTTAGCTGGCTGTTGAAGCTCTTTGCCTGTCCCTAGAGCCCCGCTCAGGGGCTCTGACAGGGAGGCTTAGCCGAGCGTGCTGGCCCCCGTGGGCCGGGAACGGATCTACGTTCAGAAGGACGGCCGCCTTCGAGGAGACATTTCAGCCCAGAGGGAGCAACCTTGGCTGGCGGGGAGGGGAGGGGAAGGCGTCGGCTCTTGGGCTTCCAAGGGGGCACCGGGGTTTTCGAAGCAAGTGCAGTCCCCTGCTGTGGGCGAATGCTCGTGAGCCGGGGCGCAAGAAATAGGAACCTCTGCTTGTTCACTGGTTGCACCATGAAACCCCTCCTGTCTTCCGTCCGCTCCCTGCGCTGACCACGCCGCTGGCTCGTCCCCCGCCCGGCGCAGGCCTCGGCGTGACGCGAGTGTTCGGGTTTTTCCACCCCGGGGGGGTGTCGCTCAACTAACCTGCTGCCTGGACCCTTTGTACCTTCGTCCAATAAAACCCTACAGCCGAGAAGAGCCTTTGACGTGTGTCGCCCGGTTACGCCGCGCCCCACGCTCGGCTGTCAACCGGCGAGCAGCCATGCTAACGCGGGTGCAGAC